TATTTATATTATTTTTAATAGCTGAACCGAAATGAACGTTAATAAGTCTGTTGAACTTAATATATACCAATTATTTTTCTAAATAAATACCATAAAAAATTTATAATAAAATGTGCCTTTAACTTATGTTTTATAACAGTGTTTTGAAACTCAGACCGAACTGGTCAATCCGATCGGTCCGATCGCCACCCGGTGGCAAAAACAGGCTAGGTTGAAACCTAGGCTTGTTTGGACAGCGCAACCGTCCAAACCTGACAAAGTTGTTCAAACCGTCTAGCTCGGTAGACCCAATAAACCTACTTGATGAATTGATCCAGGCTGGACGCACGGACTCTACTTTTTTTTTTTTTTCTTGTTCCCATTGTCGGGGTTTTATAATTTCATTAATGCTTTCATTCTCCACAAAACAAAATCAAAAAACCCATTCTCCAGTAGTCATCATCCATCTGTTCTCCTTCTTAGGTTCTCCACTCTTTAGTCTCCATTCTTCAATCTCCATCATTTTTCCGGCGAAGAAGAAACCACAAGGCAATAGATCGGGCAACAGATCGGTATCCAACAGGCAGCAGATCGGTACCCAGTAGGCAACAGCAGGCAATAGATCAGCGTTCATCATCTTGGTACGTAGCAGGCAGCAATAAGCAGCAATAGTAGGCAGCAGCAAGCAGCAGCAGCAGCAAGCAGCAGCAGCAGGCAAAAGCAAGTAGCAGCAGCAGCAGGCGGCAGATCGGTACCCAACAGGTAACATCAGATCGGTACCCAACAGGCAGTAGTAAGCAGCAGATCAGTGTGAGATTTATTAATTTTAAGATTTGTAATTGTATGACACCTTTTTTTTTTATCTATTTATGGAATTTTTGGGCTTGTAGTTGGTACAAATTGCAAGGAAAAAGTCTAAAAACAACAGTAGAATTTCACTGGAAAAACCCAGGATTGGAAATTCTGGTAGTTTTTAATTGACCCGGTCGATTGATTGAACTGGCCAAATTGAGAACCGATGAATAAACCGGTTCAATCACCGGTCCAGATTTCAAAACATTGCTTTATAAGCAAATGTTAGAAAAACCCTAATAAGTAAATCAGGTTTAATCTTATAACATTTTGCGACAGTAAACAAGGCAAACTCACGTCTACAAGTACTTTGTGGAGGAATTAAAACTTGATGTCAATCTGAGGAATGAGAAAACAACTATGATTTAAAAAGGAGCAAAAAAAAAAAAAAAGTGATGAATTTGTTGTTCTGTTTCTTTGAAATCTAAATTATGACTCCCTGAAGCATTGAAATTTGAATGAATGATTCAATTTTTGAGGCAAACTCCTAAATCATACATGTTTTTCATGTTAATTTGAAACAAAAGTAATAGTTTTGGAAATCAATGGTTTTAGAAGTTTGTGGTTGGCAACTTGGTGTATAAATTTGAATTTGTTCCTTCATTCTTTAATTTTCCCATTTTTCATGTGTAGTATTAATATATTTTCCTTCTTCGAGAGAATCATTCAACTCAGACACTTCAGGTTCAAACGCAGGAATTTCAGTCGGGTCAGTTTGGGGTTTGTATTAACAATAGGGTAAGAGCCAGGAGAAATCAGAATCTGTAAAGTGGATAGAATGAAGAACAATAGTAAAGTTGTGGAAGAAGCACATATTAACAGGCTAATCGAGTTGCCATCTTTCACATATTCTCTAGTCAATTCCAAGAGGGTTGTCTAGATGTGCCTCCTATCTAAGAGATGGACAAATCTCTGGATTTATCCATCCAGCCTCACTCTAGATAGTCGATCCTTCGATTATAATCTGAATTCCTCCCAAACGTTGGTGATTCATATCTTATCTTACCAGAAACTTTAGAAATATTCACCGTCTAAGATACTATAACGACCGGAGAAGTGATGAGCCCTTTAGCACCATATTACCCTACCCGCTAATAAGTAAGTCCTTTATCAAGAAAGTCATTGACTATGCTGTGTCACATGGTGTCCATAAAATTGACACATGATGTGACACTTGAAGTGATGAAATTCCGAAGACAGCCTAGCTTCCTCACTCACCGATAAAACACCGTCCGCTAGTCTGCTAACAACAGCATCGTTAAAAGCTTGAGGTGGCAGTTCCGACACCCGGAAATCTCTTCGGTTAAGTTGCATTGATCAGTGAACCCAATTTTTCTCGCGTTCTCCACTAAAATCGGCCGCTTAACTTTTGACCAGCCATTAACAAAACACGCACTAATCAAGTCGTTAGATTATTAGCCAAAAATCACCTGATCTATTGTTTTGTGTAAGTTATACAAATTTTTGCCAACCATTTTCCGCCACCACCAAATTTCCAGCAATTTACTCTCCCCTAGTTTGAAGTTTCTTTTTTTTTTTTT